TTTTGAGGCAAGATGATTATTTTTTTCAAAGTTCAATGAAACAATCATACGGTAAAAGATATGATTGCAAAACTAAAGGAATGAGATATGGATGTAAATCAAGTTTCGAGGACGAAACTTCTTATAAGGAGGGGAGAATGTAATACCCCAACCCAAATAATAATTGGGCTAAACTAATACTAAAGCCCATCAGTTTATTAAGACATTATTTAGTAAAAGAAGAAGGGCTAAAGTATTAGATAAAAGAAAACCTAACTATCGTGAAACAGAAAGGAAATAGAGTTCTTTTTCCTCATCTTCCTTAGGGTTAGAAAATATGAAAAATCAAGTTGGAGATTCACAATTAGAGGCTACAATCAAGTTAATCCCTTAAAGGTGAGCACATGCCCTTTTTTTATTTGAAAGAAATATTAAGTTGATTACTATTATTTGGAGTTGAAGTTTTGAGAGAAAAATCAAGAAAAATCATGAAATCCTTCATTAATCTTGATGATCTATTTGGGTAAATTACTGGGCTTTGTTTATTTCATGTTCTTAAGATTTATTGATGATTATTGAATGGAGTTTGAAGGCTGAAAGTAAGGATTTGAGTTTTTAAAGATTGAAGGAGAAATTCTATTTTTGGATGAGATGTTGTGATCTGTAATAATGAATTAAAATAGAATTTTGCATTAATGGATAGATTATTGCTGTGATTATTATATATCATTGGAAAGCATGTTGAATCTAGTTTCTAATGAAATAAATGGAAGTCAAATCTGAGTTTTCTATGAAGAGTTGTCTAATTTTAACTTAAGGATATACAGGCTGTAAGACAACAGCATCAAGGTTGAATTACGAAATTCTTCTTAATTTGTATATAAGGATTTACAGATTAAGCTATATATGTTTGGAAAGCTTATTGAGTCTACTTTCCAATGAAATAAGCGGAATTGAATTTGGAGTTTCCTGTGAATAAATATATAATTTTTATTAGAAGGTATACAGTCTGTTTGGCAGCAGTATATGACGTGGATTTCAAAAATTGTTATAATTAATCTACAAGGAATTACGAGGTTTTCCATATATGGTTAGAAAACTTATCGAGTCTAGTTTCTAACGCATTAAAGAGATCATAATTCTGATTTTGATATATTGAGATATGACTGTTTTAATGAAAAGATGTCATGCTGCTAGTATTAATTAGTTAAGTTAACCCTTTGTGTAACTTAGTTGATTTTTGTTTAAATGGTCTCAAAAAGGGTTGATTAAATTTGATCTGTTGAAATGATCTTGGATAGGCCATTAATTATTTTGGGAGAAAAAAAACTAAGTGGTGGAATCGAATGAAGGTAAGTAAAATCTCACACACTTTGTTTGTTTTCGAAACTTTGTATATATGTATGTTTCTAATTGAATGAATATTTTATTTCATTATTTTCAATGTATGAAAATATGATCAAGCATATGATTATTTTGTGTTTCTTTATATAAACGATGGATCATGCTTATGAATGAAATGAGAAAATGGTTTATGATTAAAGAATGATTTTGTGATAGCTACATTTTTATATCCCTGGGAAGTGGGATCATCGACACCAGAACTAGTTCTACGACCCTGGCTAATGAGTAATAGTAGTTAGCAAAGACGTTATCGTATGACCCTGGCTAACGGGTAATAGTAGTTAGTGTAAGCCCTGGCTAACGGGTAATAGTAGTTAGTGTAAGCCCTGGCTAACGGGTTATAATAGTTAGCAATAATCATGAGAATGAAATTGTCGATACGACCAATGTCATGGGTTATAGCAGTGACTGTAGCTAACGATTTGAATGATAATGATGATTTACGATGATTTTTAATGATTGATCCATGATTTGGTTTGACTACGATATTTGAATGATAACATATTTTACAATGATTTATGAATTTACGAAATGTTTGACAGAACGATGATATTGAGATGTTTTGATATTATGATTTGACAAATGTTTTGAATGATCTATATGACATGTATGAAAATGATGTTTGATCCGGTAAGATGTGTGAGCCTATACTTACTAAGCTGTGGTTTGCTCATTTTCCTTTTACTTTTTCTTTACAGATGACTAAGTGATAAATTTGGTTAGTCTTGTGTAAAGCTAGAAGATAAAATGGGTAAGATTACTTAATCGTCGGAGAATATGTTGGCCAATGAGATTTTACAAGGCAGTTTTGTATTTTATATGGTTTGTATTTGGATATATAAGGATGTATCATCAGTTGGATTAAAGATATGAATTTTACTTGGTAGATTGTTTTATTAAGGAATTTTAGAATGATTAAGAAAGAAGGCTTTGTATTACTTTGGGGTTTTCTTCAAGGTAATACGACCGTGTTGCGTCTTGATCTCGGGGCGTGACCATATTCTAATTTGATGATGCACAAAAGAAAGGAATTTATGTTTAATAGAGATTACAGACACACATATTAGAGGCAATTCACTAGTTGATAATGCAACTACAAAATGAAAATATTAATACAAATAGACAAATTATTGGAGGAAATACTCTCTTATTTGTTTCCTTTTCTCTAAGAATAGTGCATTTAGGAGAAATTGGGAGTTCCGCAAATGCCAAATTGAATGTGAACAAAAGAGAAAGGCAATACTTTGCCTGACCTATGCCTCTCAAGTCCATTGAAGCATGAGAGAAGAATCATAACTTCAATGTAAACGAGGAAAAAAGAGCTTGACACTTTCAAATGCTTGTTCGACAGTGCCATCAACCAGAATCAATATGTTAATTGATGAGACTGGTTTTGTATTTGAGAGTGCTTGGTTCATCAACAATAGAGTGCAATGTATGAGAAGGTTTGAAACTCTAATATATCCTGCTGTTTCTACCATTAATTGGTTCAAGTTTTCTGACTTTGAAAGTCCTGTGGCTAGAATTTGATTCCAGCCCCTTCTTTAATTGGAAACATCTACTTGTGGTTGGCTTTCATCCTGGATTTTGAGCATAATTGAGCCACACTTGCTATACTGAACACTTTTCCTCACTTTTCTTATGGATTCATCTTTTTTTTTTTTTTTTTTTTTTCCATCTTATCATATGTGAAATCAGTTGGATTCCACTTCTCTGAGAAATGTTTTATTCTCTGTTTCTAATCAATAGTTTAGAAAATGATTTTTGGCGAGAAAAGTTACTATTCAATTGAAGTCATCAGATTACTTTGTGATTGATCACTCAGATATAGCTTCAAAGAGTAACCGTACCTTGCCTTTTGTAAATTTTTTTTTTCTGAGTTTTCTTATTGTATATTAGATATTTTACAAGGTTGATCGGCAGAAATTAATACATATTCAAAGGCTAGACCGTTTAATTAATCCTTTTCATTACCAATGTCTATAACTCCATCCATCAAGATGAATTGAAATAGTTTTCCTTCTTCTTTTTTTTTTTTTTATTCCAATAACAATGGGTTATTGATAAATTTTTTATTGATTTTGATTATATTTATTTTTCTAATTGAGAATAAATTGCATATGTACTCTCTGAATAAATTAAAAAAAAAAAGAAAAATTTCCTTTTTTCCATAAACGTAACAGCAAGATTATAAAGCTTGTTTTTCTATTTTATTTTTATTCTTTTGAAAATGAAATAATGTTCCTTTTCAAGAAAATTCATTAAATTTTAATTTCTTGAAAATGATAAAATCAAAAGAAGTGGAAGAAGCTTATCTTTTGATAAAAAACAAGAGTGGTTAAAATGCAAACAAATTATCAAAAAAATTAATCCTTTTTTTTTTCATGATTAAACTGTTACATCCAATTTTGAAATAGATTCTTTTGTCATATTCTTCCAGGATTGCGGTCTTATCTTCTTTCCATGGTAGCCATCTCCCACAATAACATTGCTGCTACCATTTATGGAACATTAAACACTAATAATCTTTTTCCCTTCCCCTGGATTTTGATGACCAATTGACCATTTAGTCATTTTTATTATTTAGAAAATACACCTATTAATTTTTTTTTTCATCTTAATATCTTTATGAACAATTCTCACAATAAATTCTTGTTAAAGAACCATTATAGGAGAGGAAAAGTTTGGATTTTATCTATGGAGGGTGAAAATTATGGACCGCCAACTGCATGTTATTTATAACATAAATGAAAACAATGGTTAGTTGCCCTGTGATTTCTTTGTGGAAAAAGATAAGAAGAAAGTTTTGATTTCCAAACTCATTTGATTTGGTTGCGTCTGCGTGATTCATGGGTCAATCCTCTTGAATAAAACCCACTCTCGAGAAACGAATAAAGACAGATGCTTCGCAAAATTCATTTGTCTGGATTTAAATCTAACTGAATAACATACCAGATAAATTTGAACATAAACTCATTCTAAATCGAAGAATGTTAAGCAATAGGCACAAGAAAAAAGTATATTATTCATGAAACCTGAAACACTAGAGGTGGAATTTTATTCATGAAATGTAGACACAAGATTAAGAACTTGAAGCTAAATCCAATATTCTTACAGATTTGGTCCTTTATTAAAAAAGAAGAGAATAACAACCACAAGACTGAGTAACTGCAGTTAAAGGAAATGGTAATCTTTTCTTCTTTTCCCTGTTTCTTTCCAGGGGAGGTATTGTTTGCAGGACAGAATAGAGGGAGCCAGGGAGTTCCAAATCAAATGTGATAGTGATCAAAACTGCACCTTCACACGCCAATGGACCAACTAAGCTTAAGCCATTAAGCAGTACCTGCGGTTGAAGAAAATAATGCAAAGGATGTAAAATTTGATAAAAATGTCTAACAAATTAAAATTTCTTGTTTCTTAGATTTAAACCAATTTTAGTACCTCTTGTTCTTACTGATCTAGATGGAAGCAGCTTGTCTCTTATAGAACAAAGCTCAGCAACAATATTATCCATGTTCATTCTTTCAGTTGGCAATTCAAAAGAACAGGCAATTCCAATTTCAAATATGGAATTCAAGCTCCGAAGAAGGCTATTTGCTTTTTGGTAGACGCCAAGAATGGGTAGCTTATCTTCAAGCTGGCGCCGGTATAGTTGCAGACAGTGATCCTGATGCTGAGCACCTTGAGTGCCAAAACAAAGCTGCTAGCTTTACTTGCTCCATCGATCTGGCAGAGTCTGCATTCGTTGCTAAATGATGCAAACTTTTATTAACCACAGGAGCCGTCCGGGAACCTTGATCAGCTCAAGTTTTCTTTCTGTTATTCAGAAATTTGTCTCAAATACAAGAACCATAGAATGTAAAATATTAAGTTTTATGTATGTTTATCTTCCAGGTTATTAATTACTAGCTAATATTAACTATTAAGTCATTTGCGCTTAACAGAGTTATAATCATGTTCTCTCCTCAACCATGATCCCCTCCGGTTTGCTTTTTGTTTTTTTTCCTTTTTTATAATATACTTGAGGCCGTTAGGATTTGAATCCTGATAACTGGAAATAAAGAGTTTAACTTTTTACTAACAGGCTATGTGATTATAAGCCTTCAAGTTCTATTATCAACTAGGATGCAGGTATGCTTACTCTGTTTCTTCCATTGCACTATTCTGTATGTGCCTGCACTGCAGTCCAACTTATTACATGATTTTCTATCAATTTTCACTCTGACATCCTTAACAAATATATTAACCGTGGCTTGTTCTTATGATAATAATTAAAGCATAAGCAAGACCAAAATGCTCCTGTTTAGGCTGTTTTCCCTACTGGGGATATATTTGTAGACTTGTAGCGAGCTCATAATTATTTGACTGCTCACTGAGTTTTTCAGTTTGAGTATTTTAAGATGGCATATGATACATTGCACTTGTCACTGTATATTTATTCCCTTTGGGGCACATCTGTCCTAGCTTTCTTGAGCAAAGATTCTTCATTCTTCTTCTTCGATCTCACTCTATCTTCCTCTTTTGTAGGATGGACTCCTTCTATCATCATTATTTTTCACTAATACAGTTGGTTCTTGTAATTAGAAGTTTATGTTGATATGGTTCTGATATTTTGCAGTGCTTCTTTTCTCTTTGAATTATAAGAATTTTCCATCAGATCATTCAGTTTGTCTTATTGTATTACTCCCAATGGTAATGTTAATGCTCCAGATCAACATTTGACAATCTCAACCTGTTATTGGATGGTCTACCTGGAGCCTTTGTTACTGCACTTCTTCTGGGGGCACAGGAATTAGGCTACATCTTAGTAGCAAAGAGCACAGGAGTTAAGCTTGGTGTTCCATTCTTTGTTCCCAGTTGGCAGGTGATATATGGTTCTCTTCACTAATCCTTTGTTTAAAAACATTCCATTTCTGTTTTCCTTCTCTTCAGTTCCTATTAGTTGGTACCTTATCTCTAGAAGGGAATCTTTGTTGCGACCTAGTGTGGAAATCATAAATAAGAGCATGACCCTAACCTCTCTCATTATATTAACATGATAGGTATATAGCTAAAGCACACTCCATTTAGATTTCCAGCTTTTCTTTTCTATGTAGATTAGTTACCAATCCCATTAGCGTCTGCGCTTTCTTTAAGTGGAGCTCATAAGTAGTTACTCTGAAGGAATTTGTACGACAAACAGCCTTATTACCAGTATCAATTATGACTGTGGTGCCTATTTATAAATTCGTAAATTGCGACCATTTCCCTTATTTTTTCTGATCTATTAGATATTTTATAAAAATGCATGCTGCAAGTTTAATGGACTGCTTTGATGGCAGATAGGCTCTTTTGGTGCCATAACAAGGATCAAAACTATTGTTCCCAAGCGTGAAGACCTTCTGAAGGTTGCAGCAGCTGGACCTTTAGCTGGCTTTTCCTTGGGTTTTGCCCTATTCCTTCTAGGCTTCTTCTTGCCACCGAGCGATGGTATTGGAGTTGTTGTTAATGCTTCTGTGTTTCACGAATCATTTCTTGCTGGGGGTGTAGGTAAGCACTTCTGCCTTCAGAGACAGGTCGCGTTCATGTACATACATTTCTGAATGGTGATAGGTCTTCTCATGTATTATTGTTTTTTTCCAGCATTCACGTTATCATTTGACAGATGCTTTAGCTTCTTCAGGTCAGAAAGACATTGTCTGATTGTAGGATTTCTCTCCTTTCTCAGCAAAGCTTCTTCTAGGTGATGTACTGAAGGAAGGCACTCCTATATCAGTTAACCCACTTGTAATTTGGTCATGGGCTGGACTTTTCATCAATGCCATCAACAGCATCACTGCAGGTGAGCTAGATGGAAGGCGAATCTCCCTTGCAATATGGGGAAGAAAGGTACTTCCACCTCTTGGCCTAGTGGTTAAGAGGGTTTGAAGAAGGCACGTGAGCGTGGGTTCTAACCCTGCCATCCCCTTCCCCTTGTAAAGACTTTACCCTCCTATGAAGAGTTAAAATTAACCAAGTTTCTAACTGGACAGGCTTCATCTCGCTTCACATCAATCTCCATTGGGCTACTTAGACTCTCTTCATTGTTCAATGATGTGGCATTTTACTGGGTTGTTCTCATATTTTTCTTGGAGAGGGGGCCAATTGCTCCACTCTCTGAGGAAATCACTGATCCTGATGACAAGTATATTGCCCTTGGAGTTTTAGTTTTGATCTTAGGATTGCTTGTATGTTTACCATATCCATTCCCTTTCACATATGACTCCTTTAATACAGATTTTCAGTGATAATACACGATCAGACCTGCCTTGGAGTCCTTTCTTTGGATGATTTTCAGAGGAAATGGCTGTCATTACAAATTGATAGTGATATACAAAATTACAAATTGTCTTGTAAAGTGGCTGTCATTACATGATAGTGGTATAGAATGAATAATTTTGATATTGATGGATGGTTATTTCTGAATTGTATTTCACAATGGCGGATCTTGACGGTTGATTTCGGATTCAATCAATATTATACTGGATAACTTTGCAAGACAGAATCTTCATTTAGGCTAACAGACAAATTGTCTGATTGCCTGGTCAAAGGCTTAAAAAAAATAGATAGCCAGCCATGGGAAAGGGACAGTGAATGTTGCTCTTAAATAATCAATGGTGAAGAAAAATGTAAAATCAAGTGACCTTTGGACCCAAATCTAAGCGTTCTTAAAAGCCAACCTCTTGATGAATCTTCCACTTTCTAGCTTTCTATTTTAAAACTTTCATGCTTAATCTTGATTAAAAAAAATCAACATTTAAAAAAAATAAAGAAATGGAAAATATTTATGTAATATTTTATGAATATGTATATATATTTTTATCATGAATATATCTAATAAAAAATTATAATGTTTTTGAATCTATATAAATTATGTATCTAAAACACAGATTCTTTACTTAAATTATTAAGAATTAAAAATAGAAAATATTTACAATGGAGGATTTTACATTAGTGGTTAGTGTATTTATTTTTGAGTAAAATTTAAACTCCTTTTTTTAAGAAAAAATATTTATATCTTTATTTAATTTAACATGAATGTATTTATTACAAATGAAATATGTAATTTTAACTGATAATTTTTTAAAAAAATTTGTTAGTGATTTTAGGTAAATGAGTAGGAAATCGGATTTAATTTACTCTAATTAAAAATAACAAATTAAATTAAAAAAATAAAAAAAAAACATAATTCTTTTTTTAAAAAGAAAAGGACAAAGCCAAAACCCACTCAACAAAAATTCAAGATAAGTACAAAAACTTCAAAGGGTAAAATCGGAATAAAAAATATTTCTTCTTCCATGACATGCACACCTCTACAAGTGTCTCAAGAGGTCCAGTTCGGTTACCGGCGACTCGAGCTTCCGGTTACCTCGACATTAGCAATGACAGCGCAAAGCAGCCTTGCATTCTCTCCCCGACTGGTTCCTTCAAGTCACCGGCTTTCTCAAGTTCCGGTCACCCGCATTTCTCCCGCTCAAACTTGTTTCCGTATTGCACTCCAATGCAGGAGCTCTCTTTCAAGCTCTCCACTTGGAAAATTGAATTTATTTTTTTAAAATAAAAAATTAAGGCTTTTTTTTCTTGTAATATTTGGTCGTTGAGAAAATGCGGGCACCTTGAAGAAAATGTTGGGTGGCTTTTTTTTTTTTTTAATGAAAGAGTTGATTGAAGTAAAATGATGCAAGTTAACTGCTTTATTGCTAGTAAATAGTAAATTTTGGGGGGGGGGGGGGCTTTGGTTTGAATTGTTCTGAAATTTTGAATAAATTTGGTTTCCCTTTTGTTTGGTTACTGAGAAAATGCGGGAAAGAGGGATTTAAGTTCTCAAAATTATTGTTTTATTATGTTTTAGGCTCAATTCAAAGTGAAAAGTGACTTCTTTTTTGTTGGTTTGTTTTTTCAGTTAATGATGAAACCAAGTTTGTGGAGGCAACCAAGAAAGGAAATTTAGTGCCCCTATACCGTTACATTTTCTCTGATTAGCTAACTCCGGTGCTTGCATTCCGGTGTTTGGTTAAAGAAGATGATAGATCTTCCTGATGCATTTTGCGGCTTGGTCTTTTGCATGTCTAATTGTCATAAATCTCTATTTGATATGTTTTATAGTAATGACAAAATCATGATGGTTTGCATTTCTCATCACTAATCCCTATTAATATGAATTGATCCTGATCTTATAAGTGGATTAAAGCTCATGCCTTATTTTGATTGCCAATGATGTTTCTTAATTGGTTGCTTTGATTTGCTACTCTCAAATAAAGGAATGTCGATTAATAACTAGTTAGCTGTTGTCGCCTTGTTGGTAATTTAAGGGCTTATTTATTGTTTAATTACACTTGCAGAATGAGGCTTTGATATAGAACTGTTGTGTGTATTATTTTATACATTTGAATAAAAAAGGGGATGAGTTTCTTATTTTGGGTAGAATGTAAAATAATGCAATAATTCATGTTACCAATAGTGTTTGGAATGCTGATTTGTTCAAAATCGGTTTTCATATTTCCGTGGAAATGAAAAGACTAAAAAGTGAATATTCATAGAAATGACAAAAGATGGTCATATGTTGTAAAACACTTTAAGGAAATTGAAAGATTTTCAACACGTGTAGCTATCTCAAATTCTTGTAATTATTTTGATTATTTTGACAATTATAATATGATCGGTTAGGTAGCTACGTTTTTATGACTACAGATTGTTGCATAGCACAATAGAGATCCACGGTTACAATGATGTGCTAGCAGGTTTTATGGCTATAGTATGTTATATGTTGTGTATAGAGCACCATGTGTTTGCCAGATGATTTTGGCACCCTTAATAAATGATGGGTGAATTAAGAAAGTTTAGGGGTTTGAGTGGTTCAAAAGTGCATGATGGGTTAGTATAAAATTCTCGTTGCAGTATGTGGTGGAATCTAAACATAAAAACAGATTCTTTTACATTTTTTGATCAAAAAAATCTTTTAAAATTTGAGCATAATAAGTTTGTGATGTGTGCAGTGCATATTCATGCAAAGGAAGGTTAGAATAGTTGAACATATGGGGTGTAAACGCACTCTTAAGTTCTGGATATGGCTAGAAATGATAAAACTTGAACTTCAATGAAGGTACCCTTTTTTTTGCAATATTATACATGCAGTAGTAATCAAGTATCTTGAAATTAAGCTACTTTCTTGTATTGAATGGAGACTTGTCTACTGTCTTAAGATTCTTCCTATTGTAAGTACTTAGTTTTCGTAATAGCGTAGGAAAATTCTGATGTCACTTCATTGTTGGTTGATATGGTTTCTCTATAACATCTTTAAACTCACTCTTTCTAATAATCCTTGTGATTTGTAGGTGGATGGATTGGTTATTTCTCCTATGATACGGTTCGCCATGTTGAGAAGAAAAAGCTTACATTCTCAAAGGCTCCACATGATGACAGAAACCTCCCAGATATACATTTAGGACTCTACAACAACGTGATTATATTTGATCATGTGGAAAAGGTATTCCTTCACTCCATCAACAATACTCCTTGTCTTGCAAGCGGTAATGAGTTCATGATAGTTAGTTTCAGTTATCAATAATTTCTGTTAGAGATATAGATAGCGTGATTGAGTAATATTAACTGCTCCTTTTAAAACAGAAAGCATATGTAATTCACTAGGTGACGTGGAGACCCGCACCCAATCACACATTCTTCCGATGTGTGATTGGAAGCGTTACAATCTTCTCATCTTTAAAGCTTAACATCCTTGTTAAGCCGAATCTAATCACAAGACTAAGAGCAACTTTACGTAAGGCAGAGTTTGGTTTTTTGGGGGTGATAGTGGAAAAGTTGACAGATAAGTCACCCTTACTGCCACTCTACAGAACCGTACATGAGATTTTCACCTCATACGGCTCCTCGTTCAATTCTTTCGAAGTCATTGGGTCCTTTTCCTCGTTCGAGAATCTCCTCCCTTCTTCCACTCTGTCCCGAAGAGTAACTAGGACAAATTCAGTCACGTTTTCATGTTCCAATTGAACACTTTCCATTTTTGATTATTCTCAAAAGAGAAGATTTTTTTTACCAAACATCTGCGGATCCAATCACACGATCTTATAATAAGAACAAGAAGCGTTACAATCTTCTCATCTTTAAAGCTTAACATCCTTGTTAAGCTGAATCTAATCACAAGATTAAAATCACACCAAACTACCATGTAGTACTTAGTGCTAATCACAAGACTAAGAGCACACCAAACCATCATGTAGCACTTAGTGATTCTTACGACGGCCGATCGGTGATTGTTCTAATACTATTTGTAAAAAGCTATACCCAACCTACGAGTTATTGTCCGTTTTGGACTGAAAGTCTCACAGATTTTGTCTCACAAAATCTGCCTCAAAAGTTTGAAATTAAATTTCTATATATATATATATATCATTTCTTATCCACACATTCTTTCGATGTGGGATTGGGAGCATTACAGGTAGGGCTAGATCGAAACTCCTTTGTTCAAAAGCTTACAACAAAGGCGTTGAACACCTAGAAAAGTTGGTTGCTAGAGTACAGGATGTTGACCTGCGGGCAACTGTTATACTGTAGCATGATTTTGATTAAGTTCAGGTGCCTTTTAATTTCTCTGGTGTATCATTTTGCTCTGATTTTATTCTTAGCCCAAAGCTATCTCCAGGCTCTGTAGATTTACAAACCCATCATGTCGGCCCTTCTTTAAAGAAGTCAAATATGGCAAGTGAAGAGTTTAAGAAGGCGGTACTACAGGCAAAAGAGTATATCCTGGCAAGGGATATTTTCCAGATTGCATTAAGTCAACGTTTTGAACGGCGAACATTTGCTGACCCCTTTGAAATATATAGACCTTTGAGAGTTGTGAATCCAGGTCCATATATGATTTACTGGGCAGTTAGTTTGTTCTTCTTTAATTATCTGTTTAGTTGTGAATCTGCGAATTATTTCGGCAGTTGCATTTTGTAAGTTTTATGATTTCATATGTCCTTTCAGGTTAGAGGAGGTATTCTAGTTGCGTCAAGTCCAGAAATTCTTACCAGGGCAAAGAAGTTTAACTTTTACACATTTGTTGTCACTGATTTTTTTCGCCTTTTTTTTTTCTGATTTGAAATTTGAAGACTATACTTAGATATTTTAAGATCACAATTTTTGTGATTGACATACATGAAAATGATGGATTCTATCTATGGAGGGTGAAAATTATGGACCCTCCCCCCCCCCCCCCCCCCCTATTGTAGTTATTTATAACATACATGAAAATAATGATTAGTTGCCCTGTGATTTCTATGTGGAAAAAGAAAAGAAGAAAGTTTTGATTTCCAAACTCATCTGATAGCCGATGAGTGACAAGATTTGGTCGCGTCTGTTGTTAATGGGTCAATCCCCTTGAATAAAAGCACTTTTGAGAAATGAATAGAGACAGAAGCTTTATAAAATTCATTTGTCTAGATTCAAATGTAGCTGAATAACATACCAGATAAATTTGGATATAAACTCATTCTAAATCCAAGAATGTAAGCCTGAAACACTAGAGGTGGAATTTTATTCATCAAATGTAGACACAAGATTAAGAAATTGAAGCTAAATCCAATATTCTTACAGATTTGGTCCTTTATTTCACAAAACAAGGGAATAGGAAGAAAAGGGGTAAAA